TTCATATCATGAGCCCTTATACGGTTAAGAGGAATGAAGGTGATACGTCCGCCCTTGTCCTTGATGAGTCTGTCGATGAGTTTACTAGACACTTCGTCGTTGTCTACGACAACATTGAAGAGAGCACCCTCGGCTGCAGCTTCTGTGACGGCCCTGTAGTCACTGCTGACGTCGAGCAGGTCCGCAATAGTTCCATGCACACCTTCGAGGTCTCCTTCTTTCTGGTATCGACGGAGTGACTCCAGACCGCGACTTGTGCCATGATCAAGCAGGCGGGAGAAGGTGCTCTCTGCTTTCCGGAGCTCTCCCAGGGCGTTTGTGAGTTGGGTATTGACTCTGTTCTCCTCTCTGTAGAGATTTGTCTGTTCGTCGTGGATGGCCTTGTAGGCGTCTTTGGCTTGCTCGACCTTGGCCGCGAGATCAACACTGGCGTCTCCTTCGCTCTCGATAGTGGACCTGAGAGTGGCAATCTCACTTTCGATGCGCTGAATGTCGCTTTGAAGCTGGGCAATCTCTTCGTTTGTCTGCATAAGAACAGCCTTGCGACGGCTGAGGTCGCCATTGGACTGCTCTATTTGAGCACGCAGAGCTTCGTCTCGCTGTTTTTTGGTAGTGTAGAAAGCAGTGCGGCCCTGTTTCTCCTCTAGTCGCTTCTGCTGACCTTCAGCTTCCAATAACTGTGCCCTGACAGCCTCCTCCTCTTCCTTTTTAGCGTTGTATTCAGGCAAAAGTTGCTTGAGCTCAGCCTCGCGTGCTCGGATCTGCTGCTGGAGTGACTTGACTTGCGTGTCGCGTGACCTTTTCGTTCGTTGAGCGGCTGACTGATTGTCCTGTAACGCTTTGAATTCGAGCTCGATCTTGGCCTTTTCCAATGTTGCTGATTTGCGCTCCTGTTCAGACTGCACGCGGTCTTCTCTCAAGACGTCTAGATCACCTCTCCGCTTGTTGATATCCATGTCGATTTGTGCGATTTCAGCTTCGGTCTGCACAAAGGCTGCCTCGTTGGTCTCTTTCATCTCACGGCCCTGGTTTTCAAGATGGTCAATGTTCTCAATCAAGGCCTCGAGGTCGGCTTCTTCGCGCGACTTGAGCGTATACATCAAAGAGCGACGTTCCTTGTCGTTTCGACTCCAAGCCTCAAGCTCTTCTTTTTCACCCTCTAGTTCATCCAAGCGCTCATTGATGGTTGCCACAACTCCGTCAATATTGGCGCACTTGCTGTCGGTGTCGGCGAGCAGCTTCAAACTGTTTGCACGGCGCTCTTCGTATACGTTAGATCCGGAGATTTCCTTGAGCAGTTTGAGACGCTCAGAGTCCTTCATGTTGGTGAGTGCTGTTACACGGCCTTGAGGAACGATGTAGTAAGGGTTTGATCGCGAAAAACCAGCAGATTCGAGAATCTGCATGACCTCTGATTTGGTGGCGTTCTTGCGGTTGACCGAGTATTCGTCTTTTTTGGCGCCAATTGTCCGACGCAAGTAGAATTCGGGTTTGCCAGTTTGGAAGCGATCTTCTGTGTTGTCGAAGCAGACTTCGACGTACGCGGACATGACGGCTGAACCAGAACCCTCGTGCAGCAATGCCTGACGCTCTTCACGACCGAGATTGTGGTAGTCATCACCCAGAACGAATCGGACGGCGGCGAAGAAGTTGCTCTTTCCGGAACCATTGCGACCGACGACGACATTGCAGTTGGGCGAGAAGGGCTCGATTTGCATCTGCTCCTTGTAGCTCTTGAAGCCCTGGATGGTGATTTGTTTGATGTAACCCATGGCGGCGGTTGGTTACGGTTACGGCGCGCGGGCGAGGGAGAGTTGCGGTCGCGTGTATTCGTGAGTGCGATCGCGCTGGTACTCTTCAGCACATAGTGATAGTGGGGTCGTGGTGGTGGTGGTGAGTGTGAATGGGGAATCGTCTAACCAATGTTGCGCCGGCGACGCGGTGCGCGTCGCGCTCTCTTGCCAAGACAAGATCGCTCACGCTAGTGCGATTTGGGCTCCAACACGTTGACGAGGGCAACAAGAAATGGCCTTGTTGCAAACTATACATTTGCTTCGGGTTGCGCATCATCTGCAAAGATTCAAGTTATTTTGATTGAGAAGTGAAAAAAAAATCAGGGCCTTATACCACTAGCGATGAGGTTGATAGTGATTGAACCGGGCGTGTTGAGGCTTGTGCGGTAACTGCAGTGATCTGGTAGCATTTGAGGAAAGAGATTGACAAGTATTGGCTAGGTACTGGATGATCAAGAATCAGTCAGGTTTTTATGTTTGTGGCGCTCAACCAACTAGTTGATGGCTTTCCGCTACTAATTACCTCCTAACAAGGTCGTATCTGAAGAGGTGATTACGTGCCGCAGCCTAGTAGTCGAAACACCAAGCAACACGGCAGATATCCAATGGATATGCAAGTTTAGAGAGAAGATAGTGCAGCTAGAAGCAGAAACCCTCTTCATTCTTTAACAATAGCTGGTTTCTTGGCACCGTTGCATCCATATATTTTTTACACATGTCAGAGTAGTATCCCTGTGGGTATCAGATGGCCTGCCCTGTATCCAAGCAAAATGCCATGCAAGGGTTGTCTTACCCCCGTCTTGTAGCGACCCTGACCCCGCACACATCACTTCAAATAGGAGTGATCAGGCTTGGTCGAGCGTCCAATTATGATTGTGGCCACTTGTTGTCAGTGGTGGACTTTTGACGATCACTCTTCAAGGAAGGCCACGCTTATTTATCTTGATCGAAATGTTCCGCTTCCGAGATCAAGGATGTGCTGCAGCGCCATTGGGGACCATAGGCAGACGTAGTTGCGGGTACTATGTGAGTTAAATAAAAAAACGCTGGGACAACTTCAACAAGCGTACAGTGGAGAGAGACAGAAAGTGAGTTAGTGCAGTTGTGGCAAGCTAAGTAATACACTGCTTAGGCATGTTTGGAGTAGAATAGAGTGGAGCAGAATATCAAGGGCGGTGGGGAAAGTGTGAGTGACGGAGCTACCTCGGAGGTATTTCGAGGATGCTGGTTCGGTGCAAGGAGCAACGGCCTAGGACTTTCTTTTCCTAGCATAGCTTCACAATGGGATCTGATCTGGCTGGCTACGGCGTGGCGCGACTGTCTCGTGGTTCCTGATTGTAGGAGTATCGAAATCACCCAAAGGATGCGTGTATGTAGATATATGACGCCTATATCAGAGGACGTGCAGGTCGGGTAAAGGCCCGCAACGCGGCTTACATGTAGGCAGATGTGACCTTGTGCTACCCTTTGTCCAATTTACTTGGGAAAAGTTCGTAGGCTGGAGCATTGGGATGCCCAGATGTGAGTGGGGTTGCCGTTTTTTCTTTCCCGCGTGCAATGCGCGGTGATGCAACGTGGACAGGGAGTAGGCGGTAAGCACGCGAGGGCAGCGATCGGATTTGCAAGCACAAAATGGGATTTCGCCCACTTTCCCATGTTGGCGGCGCAACTTTTCGATCAGCCCCTCCCGATCCCGCCACCTGGCCGACGATGGGACTTCGACCTCGGCTGTCAATTGGCACAGCCTACAGCCCTAGCACATGGGCGTGGCCGATCGCTCGCAAGCGCAGTATTGTGTGAATGCACTTATCAAGGACACGGATTGCGACCGGCATTCCGCTTAATGTCGGTGTTGGCGTCATGCGCCTTTTTCTCGTGCAGCAAAAGTATGGCTTTTTTTTAGTGCCGGCGGCGGCGCGCAGTTTGTCTAGACTGATGATGCGAAGCGAAGGGGTAGGCGAGTGCGTTGAAAGTCGAGCATTGGCGTAGCAGGGTGGTATATTTCAAGGGCTAAACACATGCGCAATGGGGGCACCAGACATGTTAGGCGTAGCAGGCACTTGGTGTTACAGTAGGCATGGGTGAGGATGAGGGGGTGTGTGTGTGTGGAGTAGAGGTAACGTGGAGCCCCCTCTCTCTAATGGACCATGTGCGTGCCGTGTCTTTACCTGTTGTACTCTAGTTGGCTTGCTGCGAGGACAAGTGAGATTGATGGCGCCAAATCTTGGGCAGAGACGCGTGGTGAGCAGGACGCGGACACGGGCAGTAGTGGTGAGGAATTGATAGGCCCACAGCGATGGCAGCATAGCCGGGCAGCATTGGCCCATTGTGCAGGGCAGAGGGTGCGCTGCTCTGGCCTCGACCACACTGAGCAAGGCAGGTGTGTGCGTGCGGTAACTCCGCGGAACCTGGGGGAGGGGAGAGGGGGGGCCACCGTGTATGGTGATGAAAAAGGGGGGGTGGTGCATTGTTGTAGAGTAAATAGCTGTCTACTGCATGGATGTGGGTGTGTACACACACGTACACGGGCAGACGTTAATGGCACTCTGGTTCAGTGAATGTCCTGTGGTTTGTCACCACATCCTTACATAATACAGAGGCGCGCGGCGCCGAGAGGAAGGGGTTCCGGGGCAGGCGCAAGTCGCAGGTGGCAGGGCAGTCGCACATGTCGAAACAGGGCGTGGCGACAGGCAATCGCGATTGTCCTCAGTATCGTCGATCGTGCTCTCCCGCTACGTCATCCGCCGCACAGACACCCAATCATGCCCTGGCCCCGTGCAAACAGCACCAAATCCCCCTGCTATCGCTTTCGCAAGTTCCGCATGTTGCCAAACCCCCCAATTGTCCAATTCCCATATCAGTCCGTCTCCCCGGCTCCGTTGCCTTTTGGCTGTACCCTTTGTCTACTCCCTGCTTCGCTTCTCGACATCGGCCTGCCCCTCCGACTCCCCCACGGCCTACCCTGCCGACATCATCGCCACGGCCTTTCCTTCCGAACCCACCGTTGCCTGCTCCTTCCATAATCAGCACGTATAACTACCTGTCTTCCCATCAGCCTACCCTTCCAAACAACTCAATTCAACTTGACACAACTCAACTCAACTCAACTCAACTTAACCTGCCCCACCCACAGCCCTCTACTCCACAATACTGCTGCCCTTCACACACAAACACATACACTCTACACAACGGCAATTGCCCTTCGCCATGACGGAGATTCAGCAGCAGCCCCATCTTGACTGGGCTGGTGATGCCTTCACTGCCCTTCATCCACCAGGCATGAGCAATCAACACCACGACAAGTGGTCCACGGCCTTCAGCAACACTGCCACAATGTCCTCACAAGCCTTCTCCATTCCTCCTTCCCTCCTCACTCACGCTGCCCTGGAGCGATACGGCCAAGTCACTCCACCCGAGAAATTCTCTCCCACTCACCCTCTTCGCAATGACCGCGAAAGTTCCATCCCTGTCGAGCAGCTTCGCAATGAGACGACGCCTTGGCCCAAAAAGGAACACACCTCACTGCAAATGACCCCGCCCGAAGAGCCTTTGCCAAAGCGACGCCGCACTAGCAGGCAGACGCTTACCAATCAGGATGCTGCAATGCTGCCAAGTGCACCTGTACCACCTCAGCAAGAAACCGTTGAAGCCAACCCGCAGCCACCCAAGCGCAAGCGGGGTAGGCCCAAATCTCAGCCCCAGATGGTCGAGGCCTACACCGCCGACGGCTATCCCTTTCAAGTCTCATCGGCCCGCCAGAACCATCTCGAAAAGAACCGCGTCGCCGCACACAAGTGCAGGCAGCGCAAAAAGGAGTACATCAACAGCCTCGAAGGCCGAGCCCGAGAATTCTCCGCAAAGAACAAGATGCTCAAGGAAAACGTTGCCTTGCTCCGCGAAGAAGTCCTCGGCCTCAAGAACGAAGTCTTACGTCACGCTGGCTGTGGCTTCTGGGCCGTTGACGAATATCTCGCACGATGTGCTGGTGGCCTTCTTGGTATGGAAGTTCCTGCGTCAGAGATGCGCCACTCAATATCACATCGCAAGAGCCCCCACCAAAGCCCCGCTATACCCGTCTCACACCTCACCGGCCAACATGCCCGCGAGCACAGTATGGTCTCGATGACTTCAGCAGATACCGACGATCTCGGTGGACTCGAGCTCCTCAAGGACTTTACCGACGAGGACATGGATGATATAGGAATGTAGAAAGTCGGCCCAGTTGCCCTTGCTATCAAGACCCTTCTACATCTGGCGCATACCGTTGCGTCCGCTTTGGACTCGCTTTCTGGTACGCGAGCACGTCAGCGATTGTCACCACTTCTACTTCTATTTCCACAATTCTTACGATACCCCGGGTTTTTGCCGTGCTTTTGAGCAATGAAAAAAAGCTGTATTATTTTCTTGACTTTGTTAATCCCTTCTACATATGCCCGCATGATGGGCCACGGCTGGAGACTCCGGCGGCAGCACCACCACCACTACCGATGACTGATGAACTGCGAAAAGGCGTTTGACTAATGCATGTCGGACTGTATGATTAGCATACATACATAACGTGGTTCACAAGCGAGTCGGCCACCCAAGCGAGTCGGCCACTTTGCTCCGACGCGTTAACGTCAACACTATAACACGTAATGACTCAA